GGGGGATAAATTAGCTAATTGGATAGAAAAGTAGCTGGATGAAAGAAAGCAGATAGTTATTATATATGTAGTTCATTCAAACTGGATTAATATTACAAGTGGGGTACCTCAGGACTCAGTCTTAGGACCTTTGCTCTTTTTGATTTACATTAATGATATAGATGAAGGAATTGTCAACAAATTACTTAAATTTGCTTATAATATTGTTACCTCTCCGTTTGTTAGTTAATTTCCCGTATAATTTCTTTCCGATGAAACTTTAGCGACACAAGTACTATCTTAAATAAAACTGGTTTATTCTTTGCAATACACTTAATTTCCACAGTCACGCTATAACAAACGCTATAATTCACAGCGAACGTCTCACGTGCTCAACAATACGTCTCTCTCTGTCCGCAGTTCTATTACCCGTTCTTGCCGTCACGTCTTGACCGTCTTATATGTACAAGAATACCGAAATCTAGTAACCTCCCAAGGCTTCAGGAACGTTCAAGAAGCGCTTGATGTGTTACTAGCGTCACGTGACCTCCGCTGTCGTAACAATATTAAAGTATTGGGTGTTGCTGGCTATGAAGAAAGAGGATGCTGCTGCTTTACAAAAGGATTTAGATCATTTAGTGAGTTGGGCAAATAAATGGCAAATGGGTTTTAATTATAATAAATGTAAGATAATGTATGTGGGTTATCAGAATTTGAAGAATAAATATAATTTAGATGGGAATAACCTTAACAGTGTCATTAAAGAAAGGGGCTCTTGGTGTAATTATTGATCAGTTACTTAAGCCATCCAAGCAGTGTGTTGTTGCTAATGGCAGAGAAAATATGATTTTAGGTTGTATCTACAGAAATATTGAATAAAAGTTTAATAAAGAGGTTATAATTTCATTATACAGTTCACTGGTTAGACCACATTTGGAGCATTGTGTTCAATATTGAGCCCCTTACCTTAGGAAGGAGACTGAATTGTTGGAAAGGGTCCAGAGGAGGGTTACTAGAATGGTGCTTGGGATGGAGGAGAGATTAAAGAGATTAAGATCACTGAAACCGTTTTCTCTTTAAAAAAATGAAGAGTTAGGAGGGATCTGATTGAGGTGTTTATGATTGTAAGGGGGACTAATAGATTGATGCATCATTTTTTCATACTTAACGGCGAGAATAGTAGGACAAGGGGACACAAATATAAATTCTGGCAAGGTAAGAGTCATTTTCAGCTAAGACAGTTTTATTTTTCTAGTAGGGTGGTTGACCTCTGGAATGGGTTACATTAGGATGTTGTGTAGGCAGTAAACTTAAATGAGTTTAAGGGAAAGCTTGATAACTATATGAACGGTAAGGGCTAACTTAAACATTTTTAATTTATATGTTTAATAGTTATAATTTAGTTTAGAGGATGGGACAACCAAGATGGACCAAAAGGTCCCTTGTTGTACCTAATAATTATATTATGTTTTATAGAATTATCATAATATATGTTGGGGGCTAATAACCATATATGATAAAATAACTCGAATATATTTTTAGTTTGTCCCCCATATTTAGTAATTTATAAGATCTTTATTGAAATAAGTCTCAAATAACCATTCAATCAAAAATACAATAAACGCAGGTATGCAAATAAATTCCTTGATAACATCATTAACGCATAAGCCGCATTCAAAGACGTAACATTTAATACATTTTCATTAGAAACTTTTGAATTATTGATGAAAATACTAAATTTATTATAGCCATTGCTGATGGAAAAAGCAGAAAAGAGAAGAATAATGTTTTAATAAAGAAGGACCTCAATAAATATAATGTAACTTTCAATACTAAAAAGTGTAGCACCATTTACTTCAGGTAAAGAACTACAGAAAGGGATTATCTGTTGTGCGGGAAGGGTTCGATGTTGTAGAAAATTAGAAGGATCTGAGTGTGGATTTTGAGACTGACTTAAATTCATGTCTAGAAATTGTAAGTTTAATAATAATAATAAAACAACTGCCTCTTGAGATCTCCATTTTACTACAATGTTTAATCTTAATCTTCTAATTGTAAGAAGGATCGTGGATTAGCTAGAAAGTGTAAAAATGGGCTACAAAACGATTTTAAAATTAAAATTGTGAATTATGAAAAGAGCATTCAATAAGTAAACATGTTTTATCAGAAATATAAAAATAAAATCGAGGTGGTATGATTCAGATTTACAATAATGCTTTTTAATATTTAGTTTGATAATTTTGGTAATAATGGCTTGAATTTTAGAAGTTAAAAGTATAAGTTTTGGGAACATACTTCCAGCCATAGTCCCATTTACAATAAGGATATAGTCATTTTCTGCATTAAATTCCTTTTACACTTTTCCAAGAAATTTCCCTAAACATTTTTTGATTCATGTTGATTGGGTAATGGTTATCAGCAGCAATGTAGTTTCAATGTTCATGCATGTGTGTGTTTGGTATTTTAAGCCTCTCCCGGCAAAACAGCTAAGGAAGAAACCCCTCATCACCATACAAGATGAAATTAAACTGGGCCAAAAAATTATAACTGAAACAATGTGGAGCAAAATGATTTTCTCAGATCAATCAAAGTTCAACCTGCACTGGTCTGACGGGAAGCATTTTGTGTGATGTCGATGTGGAGAAGAGTTTCATCCAGCGTGTTTGAATGCAACTGTAATATGGGGATGCATCTCAGGCCAGGGTGTAGAATGTCTGAATTTTGTGAAAGACACTGTCAATGCTGGCAAATATGTCGAGATCCCAGAGTCCTGGTAAAAGCCAGCAATTTAGGATCACATCGGTGGAGCTGACCAGTGTATATTCCAAAATGACTCTGCTCCATCCCACAGGGCTAAAAAGATTTGTAATATTCATGCACTCTATGCAGTAGACATGGAATAAAGAGGAAATTTCATTCTATGTGTATTGAAAGACATTTTAGAGTATATTTAATTGCTTCAGAGGAAGTTATATCTTCCAAGGGAGAGGATCAAGACACTCAATTAGCCAAGCTGGAAGGTAACGGTTAACAAAGCACAGAGAAGGAACCAAAAAGGGCTTTGTAACTACATGAATACCTAATTTGCGTGTGACATCGTGAACTCACTCCTGCCTACATTCAGTCCTTCATCCACTCTATGACATGGCGTTGTCTAGCAGTTATCAAGGCCAGGCACAACCATAGAAAATGTTCGCATTTTCCAACTATTTGTTGATCATCTGCTGTAATACGTTTGTCATGGTTGCTTTGTTAGTAAAGATGTATATATATGTGTTTGGATGATTACACCATACAATCTCCATAACCATTTTACGCTAGTCTTAACAATACAAAATCTCGTAAATATTACAGGAACCAAGAAAAATATGAGAAACATTGGGTGATGCAATAGTTTTTCCATCACTGTAAATCCAACAGGTAAATTACTAACCGCAATTATATGAGATTCTTTTGGAATTGCTAGGCAATGTTGAAAAAATAACATCTCAACTATGAAAGGAGAGATTAAACACGAGTTTCCACGAGAATATGTGTATATTTATCCACGAAAATAAAATGATACTTAAAACAACATTGTGGATCACGTATGAAGAAGTGCATTCTACAATAATTCTCAACACTTTCACGTGGCGAACTTAGAGCGAATCTGGGAGTACTTGCTTTGGTCAGAGTTACAGTACAATTCCTACGCTCTACATAGCTCCCAGAATCTTTTTCCTCTTGTACCAACTGTTCAAGCTGGCATAAGAAACTAGAAGTTGCAATATTTCTCACTTCTGAAATGACTGCCACATCAGTAAACCACCCTGGATAAGTTTAAAATACCTTTGATCCTTGATTTAGACTACTAAATCA